ATTAGAAGTGTTGCAATAGAGCAACAAACACAAAAAAGAAGGAGGAGAGATAAAGACGATAGATGTTTGATAGGAAAGAAGGAAGGAGCGTACCACTCCAGAGCACCCGCCGACCACCCACATGTAGTTAGTTCATTACTCGTATTATCACTGAATGTCTGACAATAGTATGCTCCAGGAACCGATTATGTAGCCTACATTCAAAATGCAACTTGTTCGCGATTTTGCTTCAGATTTTCTGCCGATGGATGCTGAGTGTGAAGAAAAACTACCGCAATGTGACCTATCACAACTGGAGGCACGCTTTCAACGTGACGCAGACTATGTTCTGTATGCTGAAGGTGAGCTGAGGAATATTATAGGAGATAATCTGTCCCCGTGGTTTTATGCACCCCGCATAATTTAGCAAAATTTGATCACTTTTTTGGCATAATTTACTTTACTTTACTTTTCCGATCCAGCGGCCATTTGGGTTCTAGCCCTTCGGTCTGGTTAAGATTAACAGAATCATATAATTTCACTTTTTTGGGCTCAGTTTGCATAATTTCAGAAATTTTCTTGCATAAAACGACGGGGACAAGATAAGATAAGATAACATCAGATAACATCAGATCAGATAGGATAATACTTTATTATTCCAGAGGGAAATTTTTCTTGGCTGTACATGACCATAAAAACACATGCAGGAAAACATAAAGATTTAAATTATGTATTACTCTCATTAAATTTCAATATGACGAGAAAAGTAAAGCTGACAAAAAGTACATATCACATCAGATGCATCATTCAACCACATGCAGGAATTAAATTACAACACCTTTGAAGTTATTAGTTATATAGATACATACTCTAAAGAACAATACACATCTATGCTTATTCTGATGATAGCTTTATGCTAGATGGTAATAAACTTCTTTCATACCTATGTATATCTTTCTTTCTTTTTTTAGAGGTACATATCTGCCACTGCGTGAGCCTTCTGCGCTCCTCTTAATCTGTGGTGTTCCTGACTGTTTTAATTCCTGGATAATTTAAAAAGTTATACTATCATGTGCGTTAGGTTTCGGTGATTAATGTGACATAAATTTTCTTCTTGAAGTAATGAAGATTACAAGAGTTATTTCAGTTTTTCTGTGTCAGTGGGCTGATGTTATCAAGACTAGTCTACGTGGGTTTTTTTGGGGTGTGTGTGTGTGTGTGTGTGTGTGTGTGTGTGTGT